ACGCGACCTAGTTTCGACACTTCTGGAAAAATTGCTGCAAACGCCAAGCATGACCAAGAACGAGCTTCGAGAGATGCTGAAGCAGCTGCAGATCGACGCAGTCGAGCGCGCAGCGGCATTTTTACTGAGCAGAACAGCGGGAATAGAACAAGATGCAGCCGAGGAAGCAGTGGGAAACCTTCTCAGCTCGCAGACTTCTGATATTGTCGCAGCCGACTTCTCCCCAGGGGAGGAGCCACTCACATCAAATTTGCAGGAGTGGCTTGTCCAGATGTACTTCGTTGCTGACTCGCTGCTGCTTCTTTCACGACCCTCAGTCTTCAATCCGGCTGTTGTTTTGCTCGAAATACTCAACAAAATAACAAGTAAGGTACAGCAGACGGCGTAGCCTCTATTGCTTAGGTGTTGGAGGAAGTGTTGCATTCCATGGGGACAGTACATTATTCTGTACTTGCTGCTTATAGCGGGCTCAACTGAAATGTGCCTCTCACAAGACCACCAGACTTCAGGTCCTTGAATACTCCGTGCGTTTTGTTATGCTTAGTCTCATAATATGCGCTGTCTTGCTGTTTTGCTCTTGTGTACTGCTCCCACAGACCCCAAGTCCCGTGTGTACAGCATGTGGCGCAAAGCTTTCAAGACCACACGCCAACTAGCAATATCTTCTCTTGAATTGTTACTGCGCCTTCCTCGCGCTTACGTCCGTTATTATCACGAGCGTTCTGCCGGCAAGACGGTGAAAGAATGAAGATGCGTGTAGCTTCATAGTGCAAGCCACTGTGCGCTATGCGTAACAATCAACTAGCTACGTGGCTTTGACTGAAAAGCCTTAATCCATTTTACATGGCTGTCTGCATAATTGTCAAAACACTTCAACACGTTTGAGAAAGATATTGGGTCCCCAGGAGGCATTCCCCTCGCTAGTACTTCGCCTGACCCATGCCACGCCCCGCACCTTCTGCTGAGGGTCGTTCATTTGTCATTTGTGTTAAGTGCACTAATTGGTGCTGCCGTTTCGTGCGACATTGCCAGCCTCTTCCTGCTTCGCGTTTGCCAATGCCATGAACTCCGCTGCTCGTTCATCGCTGGAGAAGCGAATGCGATAAAACGTCGTATCCTTTGCGTCCTCTGAGTGACAAAAACAAAGACTTTTGAAGCACAATATGAACGAACAGCAGATGGAACCACCCAAGGCAAAACTAACAGTGAACAGCTGTATATTTACAGGATAAGCCTAAAATCTCTACAGACTGCACACTGACTTGCATCGAGCTTGAGGCCAGTAAATTCCACAGTATTCATCTTCAAAGGAATGTCTTTAAGCTCGTCCTTTGCTACCCCATCTCCGCCAGCTGGTGCCGCTGCCGCGCCTGACAATACCGCTTTTGTCCCCGCTGCAACTGCAGAACGCTCAACTGGATGCCTAAATTTGACAGTTGATGGCAACACTGGTGAATTAAGGCGCAGACGGCCGGTCCGATTAACAAAAAACAGTATGCGCGCATTGGGCAGGCCTTCTTCTTCTCCTTTCTGAAAAACGAAAGGACATCTTGAGCAAAAAGGAGAAATCAATCTTGTTGGATACAAAAATAACCAACAGGCAATAGCCTATCATCCACGCCAGATGCACATGCTATAAGAAGACCAGCTGCAGCATCTTTTCCTCGCAAAGAATCGGCAAATAGTCTAGCACCACCAGCAACTCAAAAGGCTTGCCTTGGGCGTAACGAAGTCAACCTTCCCGTCTAGGGGTGGCTTTGGCGTCCACACTTTATTTGCAATGTCGAAGCACTGCATGCGACAGTCGCGCTGAAACAGAAGCAAAGATGAAAGCAATACTTTAACCAGAGAATCTGAAAGACGGTTGCAGGAGGACCACGGTGCACGGCAAATGAGCAAAGCCACTCAGACCGCGGAAAGCCGAAGAGGGGTTCGATGCAGTAATACACGGAGGCTCTTACGTCTGTAAAGATGACCTCTTCTTTGCTGTCGACGGCTGAAACAGAGAAGGACATCGCAACAGTCACAACTGTACATTTTGCCCACTGCCCTTACAAATGCAGCAAAGCACCACGGGCACTTCGTTGAATACTGCCATAGCCCGTGCTTACTCGTAGTTACCACAGTTGGCTCCTCTGGTGGTGGCACATCGGTCTCGTCTGCTTCAGCTGATGCAGATCCTGAACAGCTCCCCAAAAGAGATGAGTGCCCCTCCACAGGGCCCCCAGACGGTAAGAGAAACGAGTTGCCCGATGGGCCCTGGACAGCAGGCAGATAACAACTCCAACCGGAATGACAAAAGACGCCGTTACACATGGCATAACCTCCCCTGGTTTCAAGCAGAAAAGCGCACAGTGGTCAGTTGCGACTCACAAGCGCTCCAAACGGGCTGACAAACGCTGGGGCTCCTTTGAGCAAAGAACCAAATATGCCTCCACTACTAGTGTCGATGCTGGGGTTGTTATCTGCCGCTGTCTTCCCATTGGCATCCGCAGCAGAAACTCCATCAGTAGCCGATGCACTTGCTGACGCTGGCGCTGTCGCTCCAGGAGATGTGTCCGCTGCAGCGGGGGCTGCAGGAGCCGCGTCACCACTGGTGGCCACGTCTGCTGATGATATCGCTGACGCTGAGACGGGAGTAGTGACAATTTCAGGTGCACTCGCTGCAGAAGTCCCAGGGGACTCTTCCTTTTCCGAGACTGCAGCTGGAGTTTCCTGAGACACGCGAAATGCAGAATATGAAGGCCATATCACGGGTGAAAGCTGTTGGAGCAGTGAAGGCCCCAAGAACTTCCAGTGTGCGCGGGTACGGCCCCAACCCACCTTGTTTTCTACAGAGGCTTCCTTCGTCGATTGCTGCTCATGGCAAGTAACCGCGGGAGGTGCGTGCGTCCGGACGATCTTGAGCCGGCTGTTTACACAGCAGCACAACGACGGCATCTGTCCACCAGCTGCAACAACAACAACCGGCACCTCGTGTGCTTATAGCTCTACGTTGGTAGTGTGAAAATTACCGTCTATTTTTCAAAGTGTTGGCATCCGCATCCTTCAGGTCAAGGGAGCTTTCTGTCTCCGCCACTTCCGCCTGCGGTTCGCCTTGCAGCTGGTCCTTGGTGAGTTGCGTAGATGGCTTGCGCTTGCTGCATGCACTCTCCTGCAGACCACAAACAGGCAAGCAAAGAATACAACCCGTAAGTCTGCCACACTTGAAGCAAAGTCACGGGAAGAAGCAAGCGACGGAGACGCCCCGCGGCTCCCGCTGGCGAAGTTGCACAATGGCAGACGAGCCACATTTCTACTAAAAACCAGCGGTTAAAATGTGAGACGATGAGTAGAAGTAGCGAGAGAGGCAAGAACACAAGGAAGAGCCGCATGAAGTACCATTTTGTCTCGTAGCAAGCTACGTCTAATGGCGGTCCCTGCTGATAAGTAAAACCGAAAGCAGCGTCTAGGTTCTGTTTTCTTGTATACTAATAGCAAGTAATTTCTCAACTTAGTACCTAATGTAGAGAGAACCACAACAGCCATTTCCCGTCCAACCAACTGGTCCCCACTACCAGAACCCTGCATGCACGCTAGCGGGGTTGGCTGCCAACCCGCTGTCAGCAAAAGAAAAAAGATATAAAGGAAAGCTGAAAACTTGCGCCTTGTGTGTGTTGGTTTGAGCCGCTGGTGTCTAATTGAAGTTACTTTCAAAACTACACACATGACGCCTGGTGCCCTTGCCCACTGTGGGCAATCTTCAGTTCACGGCGGTATTTGCTCGCTAAACCGAGCCACCCTGTCTTCGTGATAAGTACTGTGGAAGCATACTGGAAGTGCAGCTAGAGAGAAAGCTAGTGGAGCTCAGGCAGCCTTGTAGCGCTGCAGGAGGAAGCCATACATATGGGAGGCGCCGACATGCTGGCCAGGTCGTCCCCCTCAAACGGCTACGAAAGGAGCGAGCGGAAGAAGCATTGGGAATTTGACTGCAAATAGTGGTAAACTATCCACTGGCGGAGTCCCGTGGTCACCTCATTAAGTACCACAACCCCTACCCAAACACGCCTCCCTGAACTTCCTAACGCCCCTTACCTACCTGTGGTTGTACATGGCTTACACGGCTTTACACGCTCCTGTCTATTGAAACGGCAAACTAAGCACTTGCCACAAGACGTACACATTCCCCGCGGCCGCATGGCCTTACCTTCCAGACTCCCTATTCAAGATTCAATGGGCCCCGCACCTATCTCACAATCTAAGTTAAGCGAAACGCGTAAAATCGTAGCCCATATCTACATATTAATGTTAAAAGTGCGACTGCTTGATGTTCGCTTCGTCTTGGTTTCAGCGAGTCCGGCCCGCCGTACACGCCAATGAGAGAAAGCCCAGAATGCCAGCATATAGGAGTTGCAGTACATACATTTTATATACATGTACATAAACAAACATACTATTCGATGTGACCACACCCACAATGTACATGCACCCGAACCACTTGTGTATGTACGTGCAATGTGTGTCCGTGCATGAAAGGATACGCACATGTGAATATACATATGTATAAAAGACAAACAGCCGATTGGGTGCTCTGCCTCTGCGTTTTCTGCACCCGTTTGCTTCGGGAAGCGGCAACACCAACCATCCCAAATACTAGTGTATGTATATATACCATGTGCAAGCAACAGGATGATGTGTATACAGTATCAGACGTAACATATACACTCCAGGAGCCGGCAAACTGATGCGCCGTCAGATACTTCAACATGGCAGCCAACTGGCTCGACCTCCAGGAAGGAGCCACCGCCTCAGCTCCCCAGCTGCTGCAGCAGCACACGTGGGCGCAGCAACAGAACAACAGTTACAACAACAGACGGTATGAACAAAACTCAGCTACTCGCCGTTGTACTTTCTGTGCCGATGCACACTGCACAACGCAGAATTGCTAGTGCTGCTGCTGCTGCCGCATGCCACGGCGTACCCTTGCGACGCGACCGGCCAACGAGCGCTGTCATCCGCGCTCAAAGCTTCTGGAGTTTGTCTGCAACGACTTTATTGTTTTGCTTCCTCAGCTGCTCGCGCTCGAACGCCTTGTAGTCAAACACGCACCCATGCGCATCGGCGTAGCGGTGCTCCCCACAAAAGGCGAAACCGCAGCGGCATACAAAGCCCAACAGCCCGACCTTCTTGTTGCACTTGTGGCAACGCGATGTTTTCCCCTGCAGTAACCGCAGCATCTGCAAACTACACCAAGAGGCGTACCAAGCGGAACTCTCTCAAGGAGCTCTTTATGGGCAACAAAAAAACGAATACTCACAACTCATGAACACACAGCACATGACGCTCTACATACCCTGCCTTGACTTGAAGAGGCTGGTGCAGAGGAAGGGGAGGGCGGTGCTGCAGTGTCTGTGCTTTCGACAGGGGAGGAGCTTGTCATGCTAGTTGCGGCTGCTGCTGCTGCTGTCGCTTCTGGCGTTGCTGCTACGCCAGGTTGGGGATCTGATGCCGTTGAAGGCACTGCGGCCGGGGCTAGTCCAACTGCAGCAGCATCATCAGCAGGTTCTTGCGTAGGTGCAGTCGCCTCTTCGCCACAGCTTTCCGCCGCCACAGTAGCCGCAGCAGCTGTTGCTTCTGTCGCTGCAACGGCAGCAGGCCCTATGGCATCTGACGGCTCCGTAACTGCCTTCAGCTGTGAACGTGCTGCGCTGGACTGCTCTGCGGGAACTGCTGACGACGTGTCTCCAGCAACAGCGTCGGAGTTTTGCTGCTGCTGCGGCAGTGCGCGTCTGCAAGCAGCAGCAGCTGTAGCAGCTGCACTTTCCGCCTTCAAGAATTCCCGGTAACATTTTGAACAGAGGTTACGGTTAGCTGGGCTGCCGTAGAAGCCGCAGTTCTTCGCACACAAGGGCGGAGCAGACTGCAACACACGAGATAGATGCAGCAGCAACGGCAGACCTACAATGACCTACAATGCCGCCAACAGATATCGATCAAACACGATGGTATGTAGAGATGTGTCAGCCGGATTTAAGCATCGTAACAGCATCAGTCAACACGGACAAATCACTGCTACAGCAGCAACCCACCGCCACAATACCCCTGAGGTGCGTTTGCTCATACTGCTGCTGCTGCTGCTTACAGGCCTTTCGTTTTCGTGTTGCTCTGAGCTCATCTTGGCTGAAAAAGGGAGGAACTTTAGCCCTTCCGTCGTCGCCGTGCCGTCACGCCCGATACGTCCAAGGCTGCCACTTCAAACGAGGGAATTCCGCTTCACGCGAAACTATTTGCTCTTGCTACCACCCGTTCACGCGTTGTCGGCCACAGGGGGCGGCGAGAGCGCTCCAGTCAGCGGATTCTGCTGCTGACGCCACGGACAGTAGCAGCTGTGCGCTTTGATAACCTCCGTGAAGGCCGCTGCTGCTTAAGCAACAACGTAGTGAGAGAGAAGCCACTTCCCTTTTTCCTTCCCGCGACTTCCTCCGTCGCTGCCGCACCCTCCGCCGCAACTGCCACGGCGTCTCCAGCAAACCACCGACACAGCTGCCGCAGTATTCTAAGTTCTGTACTGCTTCCGCTGCACAAACACACCGACGAGGCAACGCAGCAGCCGAGATGCAGTAGCACTCTCCGCCAAACGGAACCAAGAAGACTCAGTTGCCTCCTTGTCCACTGAGCGGCTGCAGCACTGAGGTGGAGCAGAACGCGCCTAAAGTGAGCTCGAACTAGCAGTGAATAAGGAAAAAAAGAACAAGGCTCCCACATGCTACAACTGCCGCTGGATCGCAAAAGTAACAATAGAGGACTCTGGCCGATGCAACTAACCGCTCACCAATGCTGCCGGTACTTCTCTCGTTGCAGCCCAGAAGTTACTGCAGCAGCACGAACACGAGTGGATACACTGCAGATATCTCGACCCGTTCGCCGTTATGCGGCAACGGCAACAGCAGCCGGAGGAGAAGCGATTGTGCAGCACGAAGCAATGCCAACTGGTGGGGGGTAGCCGTAGCAGTGGCAACTGCAGCACTAAGAACGAAAGAATGCAGCAGTGCTGCACCCTAATGAGCAAGAACAGCAATACTTCCTCCAAACAATACGCAGGAATGTACTGCTGCTAATGCTGAGAAGCCCAAAAGTGCTGCTGCTGCTACCGTTGCTGCTGCTGCAGGTGCTGCTGCAGCAGAATATACAGGACCGGATTGAGACAGACAATAGAATGCGATTAGAGACAGAGAAATGCTACTCACGAAGCAGCAGGGAAGGGCAGGTTGCAGGCAGTGCTGAAGCTCATACAGGCCGGGAGTCTGCTGCTGCTGCAGCTGCTGCTACCTGCGCTGCTCCCGCTGCTGCTGCTCCTGCCACTGTATTCCCCAAAGCGATGCCTCTTCTCTAATCAAGTCGCTAATAAATTAATTTGTATTCAAACACCCTTCGTTTTTTGTGGCTGAGGCCGCAGTGTCATTTGCAGCAGCAGCAGCTCCAGCAGCAGCAGCTACTGGAGCTGTGGCAGCGTTCTGCGCACGCACCCTAAGAGCTGCTGCTGCTGCTTCTAACATTACCAAAGGCGCAATTTATGATTGTGTTTTTAGGATGGAATGGAGTGCGCTGCTATGCAACTAGTCCAGAATCACATAGGCGGGTGGCTTATCAAAACTGTGCCTGCGGCCTTCTTTGCTCTGGCTGCTCCAGCAGTGCCCGTTCAAATGTGACGAATATACAGATAGAATTGCTTCTCGCGTTGCTGTGGCGCTCTCTATTGGCCTTGAACAAACAAGCTACCCAGTGGGTTTTTGAGGGGAGTTCGGCATTTCCTCAACCGCCTGAGCGCGTGTTGGGGTGTGCCTCTTGTGTGACAACGGAGGGTGCTGTCTTTTCTGCATGCGCGTGCGGAGTCTAGCTCCCATGCATATGCTCATGAGACACTCAGAGGTGCAACAGGCTTGTCATGGCGTATTTTTATGACAGTCCGTCGCGGTGCTCTGGGCACCACATTGTGGAGGGATTAAAGAATAGCTTACAGGCAACGACGCAACATGATATGGCAGCAAATGTAGAGGCGGCATTTGTGTTGCTCCTTTTCAACTTCTAAAAGATTGAGGTCGGTTTTGGGGCGTGTAGGAGAAAGCGGCCTTAATGAATCGTACTACTATCACAGCGCCAGAAGCCTCCGGGGCCAGCGGGCTAGCACGCAGCTCTAGCCAATGAAAGTAGTGCACCATGGACTAAAAACACCTAGAGTAGAGTATAAAAGTTTAAAATGCTGAACGTGGTGTGCAGGAGTAGTGGGAAAGAGTTAGGACCTTCCTATTCTTGTGACAAATAGGTGTGATGGAAGAGCAGCATTGGTGGAAGTCAGCATTGGCACCGCGAAAAAGTGAGCATAGCGGGTGCAGATTGGGTCCTTTGTGGATTAATGCTGCCCAGACAGTGCATACCAGATCTCATAACGTAGGATATGCCGCGTGCAAGCGAAAATGCACGTGGTGAGGAAAGCTAGAGCCTCTCCGCAGGTGTGCAGGTGTGCAGGCAATGCCCCATGCACGCAAAAATACACCTGTTGGGGAAAACTCGAATTGTTCGCCATCCGGCGAGTATAGTAGCTGTGGTTGCAAGGCCTGCCTGCCGACCTGATTGAATGCTGTCCCGTTGCATGCAGAAACAGCCTTTACTGCTTTCAAGGGGATGGCCGGCGCAGGGTGGTCTTTGGTGACCTGCTTTGCCCCCAAGATTCTTCGTGGGACTGTATCTTTGGGTCGGCCACTGTACAATGCAGAGCTCAGCCTTGGTCCTACCCTTTTCCAACGTTTTTCTCAAGCTATTTTGCATTAGAAACACTTTTAATATCAGTTAAAAAAGCTGTAATGGATAACAACGAATACCATAAATTTTGTAAGCTGAGTGCTTCAATAGGAACTCAGAAACATTGCTGAACCTTGTTTTCAAGGCCTGCTTTGCTGCTTGCCGGAGTCTTCGCCCGTTGCAGTGTTGGTGTCAATCCCAACCTGGGACTTTGCAAGAGAACTCACAAGGCCTTTACATCCTCAGAGCTCTGTCTTTCACACATACTAAAACAATGGCATGCCTTGCACCTGTTTGGTTCGCTTTGTGCAAGACACCGGCAACGCTTTCATGCTCAGTTGTAGCGCATAACACCACAGCTTCCTTCCTCCTTAAAATTTTCCGTTGCTGCCTCTCGAGCAGCTGTTTGCTGCTTTTTTTGGCTCCGTAATCCATGAGCATTTTACTTTACAACTATTCTGCTATTTTATTTACTATGGGCGGGGTCGCCAATGCTGCTCGCTTGGTGCTCCGTCAGGCTGGTTATCGACAACCGGCAGTTTGCCCTTGTTTGTACAATTGAGGCTGCTACAGTTCCTGTCGCTTCATTTGCCATTGCTGTTCGCTTGGAGCTGTTTCTGCCTTCGCTCTTACGTTTGCAATCGTGTTGCGTGTTTCTGCTGCAGTTACCGCTGCAGCTGCTGTCACGGTTCTTGCTACTTCTTCTGTGACAAGTGGTGTAGCTTCGGCATTTGGTATTGGGATTACAGCTGCACTGGTTTTTGCGTGTGCAATTACTAGCGCCATCACAACTGCATCTGCTGCTTTTGTTAATGCACTGCGGCAGCTGCTTCCCGTTCTGCAATATCTGCTTTTGTTTTTCGGACAGCTTCTGCCCTTGCTGCTGGAGTTAGTCCTTTATGCCTATTAGTGAATATTGTTACTTTTGTTGTTGCTGCACCTTCCACTGCTATATCCGCTGCTGCGCCTGCTGATCTTGCCAATTCGTGCCACAGTTCCTACTGCGGGAAGTGAGCCACCTTCGTTCATGTATATATTTTTACATTCTCAACCTCCCTGTGCGAGCCCATTATCAGAGAATACTGTGGCTTAAGACGCTACTCAATGCCTGTATGTTCGCTTCAAAGGTGTTGTAGTTTATGCGTGCTTGCGCCACAGTTCAGCCTACGCTAATTGCTGCCCTATCTGATATACGTATATGAAGGTTTCTCTTATCTGCAGATTCGCCACTGTAGCTAATCTCCCTTTATTTTGTTTTTTCTACGTAGTTACGTTTTTCCTCCGTATTTGTCACGTATAGGCCATGTCTAATTTGTCTTGTTCTGTCTTTGCTTTTCCTCCTTTCAGCCACCTAATCACTAATCCTGTTGTTACCTTCACCATTCCGTCAAGTGTGCTGCTTTTGTATGCGCGTGTATTCTTTTTGCTTGCTGTAATGCTTCCACGTTCACGGCCCTGGTCTCTCCTTCCCTTCTTCCGGCTTGTGTCCAGCATGGCACCCAATCTCTTGTATGCAGAAGATGAAACAACAAGCCGGAGAAGGCTTTTCAATGTTTGTAAAGAAATTGGGATAGGAATACTACGGAAATTGTAGTGCGCAGGTACTACAATAGGGTTTGCTGGTGACCCTAAGAGGATAGCTAGCTGGTGACCTACAGGAGGTTAAGACTCTGAACGAGGGTGGGACCTTCTTACTAGTAACCAAATAAGGCAATTTTCCAGAAATTTTGCATGGGTAAACGAGACTTGCCTGTGAATACCCTAAGATTGGGGCAGGCGATAGCACCGGCACCGGTGTAGACCGCCCAACAAGGTCAAGAAAGCAGAGACCCTCAGTGCGGTGGACTTATACGAGAAATCGATTCCAGAACTTGAAGTATGACTGCTATTATTGATATTTTGGTATTTGTTTCATGAGAGATGCACCGAAGGTAGAAGGTTTTTCAAAGGGCGTCCTACTCGTGGGCAAGGTGCAGCAGAAGGCGCTGTGCACTACAGGAATCATGCAGGAAAGTAGTGAAGGTTGGTGTTAAAAAAAAGGAAAATAGGAAGACTTTCAGTAAAGTTGGAAGAGCAAGCGGTTTCGGATCGCAGGCGCCCTGCTGGTGTTTGCTTTGGGGCTCAGGCGTGCCTTTAGCATGGCATACGTTGTAACTCTAAGTCAGCCAGAATCTTTGGGTATAATAACTAATGTGTCTCTCACTATGTCCGGTAATGATCCCATTTTGGTTGGTTCAGCCCCTACCCTGGAGTATTGTAGAGTCAAAGGCATCACCAAAGCGGCCAATGGGATGGTTGTTCAGTGTTTGGAGGTCGTCTTCTGGCCGCGATAGCCAGCTGTCACACTTGAGTCAGAAGTAGAAAAAATTGTGGTGCACACAATACTTAGACGCCATAAACACAAATTTGCAGGGAAAGCAATCCCAAAGGGCAAGTAACACGGCAATTGCGGAACTGAACACCGGAGGTTTCACTCTGCCTTTTAGCTGCAGCGCTGTAAGGCTTGCGGAATATCTGGCACATTTCACAAGCAGAGACCCGTGCGTGTGGAGCGAAAACGGTTGCAATTTCTGAAGTAACTGTTGATGCGTGCTTTGCGAGATGTTGTAGGTGTTTTGCGCAGCGTGCCGTGCTACTTCTACGTTACTACCTGGCCCACGAATAGGGCGACATTCTGATTACTTCTCTATATTCAACACGTTTCTCTTAAATAATACTAAATTATAAATAAAAGCATTGATATCCCAAGTTCCCAATCCGATTTTCGTAGAAGTCGCGCCCTCATAGCTGCCGTCTTGGGCATGCTGGGGCGGTGACCCACACCGGTGTCAGGGTTGTCGCCAGCCCCAATCTTGGGGGATTCACAGACATTTCTAGTTTATACATGCTATTTTGCTGGCAAATTGTTTTACTTCATTACTAGTAATAAGTTTCTGTGCTCTTTCAGCGTCTTAACTTCTTATATGTTGCCTGCTAGCCCTCTTCAGGTCACCAGTAAGCCCTATTGTAGTACCTGCGCACTACAGCTTACCCCCTTGCCAGCCTGCCTAGAACACGTTATTTCTGCATCTTAAGTGTCTATTCTCTTCTAACGCTCATGCCATGAGCGCATGCGCTGCGCAGCGCTCCCTCCCCCCTCGTCATGGAAGGCTGCCAGCCCTGCGAGAGGCGGAAGCTGACGGGTCCAAACCGCTACGCCTCCAAAGGAGCAAGATGGTTTCGAGCCTGGAGACGTCTTCCATGGCGGCGGTGCCAAACACGAAGCAGAGCCTGGCATCCTGGTGGTGAGCGGGCTCCCATGCGGCTTGATCTTCAGGGATTCCGCGCCACTTGACGAGGTCCTGGGGCGTCGGCTCCTGGGCCGCGCTGGTCCACGATAAAATTTTCCTCATAATCCTTTGTTGGAATGCCTGCCGCATTGCGGATGGGGAGCCAGCCGGCGTCGGCTCCCTGGGAAACCAAGTCGGGGAGGTGGGGGCAATGGGGAACTAACTGCGAAACATGGGAAACGTTGTGGCATTCATAAGTGACGGGCAAGGCGAGACGGTAGGCGATGGTCTCTATACGTTCGATGACTCCACAGGGTCCTCGGCAACGGGGCTCCAACTTAGGGCAGCTCTTCAAAGCCGGTATATGCTTGCGACTAAGCAAGACCTTGTCGTTTAAACGTTCAGTCCTCTCAGTGCTGAGACGAGTGGGCTGTCTACTGCTTTTGCCCTCGGGCCCACTCCTGCCTCGGTCGTATGTAGGACAGTCCAGAGCATAGTGTCCCACACTGCCACACTTCTTACAGGTCTCCCCCGGACGCTTGGTACGTTCTCCCTTGCTGGGACAAGCGCGTGCTGGTTATCCTCGTCCCTGGCACTCATAGCAGTTCCCGCGCTTTCCCCTAGGCTGATTTTCGTTCTCCTTGTTCCTACGGGGTCCATTTGCCTGGGCAGCCGCTCTGATGGCTCGATTGATCCTCTCTCGTTGCTCTAGCACGGTCTGTCTAGGCTGATAGAGTCTCGCTGCGGCTGTCGCCGCTTGTTCCCAAGAGGTATACTTCACCTGCCCGTTATGAGAAGAAGTAGGTCCGTCGGTAGCCCGGTGCAGTAATAGTCAGCGAGTTCTTTGGGAGTGATCCCCACGTCACGCTCCGCTACAGCCGCAGACTGGTCCGTGTATTCCTTAGGGTTGCCATTCCACCGTACCTTGGCCAATTCCGTCAAAAATTGACTCTGCGACATTGTTTTGTCGAACCGTTCCAAAAGCCGGCGCTTGACCGTCGCCCAGTCACTTAGGTCGCTAGTTCTCCGGAGATACATCCAATAACGCGGAGCCGGGTCCACAAGGTGGTCAATAAGCGCGTTTCCCCTGTCGCAGGGCTCCAAGCCCATCTGGGTGTACCGTCGTTCGATGCGCAGCAAAAAGGTTTGCATGGTGCTGCCGTCTTCAGGAAGCATGGGAAACGTTGCGCCCGATTCGCAGGGCCCGCCCATAACATTCCTTATCACAGCGGTCGCGGAATGGAGTTTTCCCCTGGCGGGCTGGCAACATTGGTTATAGGTGTGACCTGTGGGTCCACCTCCTTATGCCCATGCGGCTGCTCTGCCACGGTGGATTCCGGAGTAGCATGACGATGGTGGGCTGGTGTCCAGCTGGGCATTTTGCTCACGGACATTGTAGACGTCTCCTGTTGAGTGGTGCCGATACCGCGCCCGTTCCATACGTGCATCCCATGCCGAGCTAAGCTGTCTAAGTGTGTACTATTAGGGCAAAGTTTTTATACCGTTAGATCCGGGAAAAAAAATCTGCACCCCGGAACAGCCCCCAAATATAGTGCGCAGCGTTCTAGTGCGTTCCTGGCCCACGAATAGGGCGCCCTTTCGACCAATTCTCTACAATCAACACATTTCTCATAAACAATACCAAATTATTGATAAAATGCAGTCATAGTTCACCCTCTCAATCAGATTTTCCTAAATGTCACATCCTCATAGTTCTTGCTCTCCTCGCCCGGTTGGGGCGCGCGCCAGAGCCGGCATTATCGCCAGCCCCAATCTTCGGGTATTCAGAGACACTTCTAGTTTACTCATGCTCGTGAATTGCTTTAATTTGTTACTAGTAAGAAGATTCTGCTCCCGTTCAGCGTCTTAACCTCTTACTATGTGTCTCCAGCCAGCCACTCTCTTAAGGTCACCAGCAATCCCTATGTAGTGCCTGCACACTACAGTTACCCTGCGCTTCTACTGCAGCACGCATTGATCAGACCGACTGTCACCAAGTCTGGTGTCAGTCCTCGTCGTCTTCTGTTGAATTCGTAACTGTGGGTCCCCCATTCTGGGCTTTTGTATGGCTGTCCTGTTGTGTACTATGAGCCGTGATAGCTCTCCTCTCTGCTGCTCCTCACAAAATGAAATGTTGCCTCGAACGTTCACTGCACTCACTGGCGCCTAATGTCCTCTTCACCAGCAGTGCCTAGGCTTATTCACTTATAGGCTCTGTAATACCTTGTCGGCGAGCAGTCTGTCTGGCTTTTTAGATTCCAGTTACCTCTTTTTTAAAGTCTGCGTATGTCAGTCCCATGCAGAGTTCACAGTTCCAACACAACTCTTGCGCGCTCCCACTATCTTGTTTCTTCCTTTCCCTGCTGAGGTACTCTTGTGATTGAGCTCTTCACCCGTGGCATTCACAATCCGCGTGTTCTCTCTCGAAAATACGCTTTCGTTTCATCTGACGCATTTCTTCGCTCTTTAGTCGCTGCCGCCTCTCACTCTCTTGAATTTCGCGTAGGTCCTTGTCCCATGTTTTGTGCTTGAAAGTTATTGCCTAGCTGTAATGGCCGACTTTGGCGAACGGATGAGATCAAGAGCTTTTGCAGCCTCCCGCCACGAGGAGTGTTGGAGTATTCGGGCTTTCACGCTTTATAAACCTAAATCACTGGGGACTTTTGCATCTTAGGGACTAAGCATGTGATTCTCTCCATTAAGACCTCACTGTACGTGAGCTGAGGATTGTACTTTATGCTTTTCTTGAACTCCCTTTTATTCGATTCAAGCCAGGTCGTCTAGAAATGCAATTCGTGAAAGCTTGCAAGATCAACCATGGAACCCCTGTATCTCCACTGAGTGCTCATGTCGATGATTTCCTTACGACACTACTGCTGTGTTAGAACAGGATTCCAAGAGCCCAGCTCCAGCCAGCAGCAGCTTCAGGCATGTTTTCCCTCATGACAGCGAACAATGCCTTCACAGGGCCCTCAAAGGTCACCATGGCACTCTCAGCCTCGCGCTTTAGAGATAGCTGACAAGCAGAACGTTGGAGAGGAACCTCATGGAGGTGACAATTTCCAGTAGGTGCTCCACCTGGGCGCTAAGTTGTTGAATGACACGTAGTTGGTTTACAGCTCTGCCACCGCCCCTGGGATTAGGGGGCAAAAGCTTATGTACCCGTTCCTTATGTAATCTAAACGATCTAAACGATTAAGTAGCTTCGCGTTCTGGTTTCTTTACTTTGGGGTTTTCCCCAGGATGACCTTTGCATGGAGATCTCTCATAGGTGCTCTTTTGGTGCTCCTACTTGCCGTCCGGTATGATTGCGCATATCCGAATGTGAAGGCACAGCTTCTGTTTTCTTGAGGTCTGCATAGTGCGTCCTGGAAAAGCAGTCAGGTAGGAAAGGTACAGCTTTCACAAACACTGGAACATTCTTCAAGTTTAAAGCGCGAACACTGGTCTAGCCCCAAAATATCTTGTTATCGGCAACTATCTTACTTTTCTGCATCGCATGCAAAGGGGACGAAGGCTGGGCAGAGGTAAAACCTTACTGTACGACAACTGACAACTGTCTGTTTTAAAGGACAGCAGGAATGAACTGGGCTCTGGTCGCATAATCCTAATCCCACGTCGTGCACAGACTCCCCGCTAGCTACAGGGTCGCTGCCCCCAAACGCTGCGCCTGGCTAGAGGCATCGTTGGTGCTAGCGATCCTCAGAGCTTTTGGCTACATAGCAGCCATTTACCTACACTATCGTTAAATCGGATCTAGAGCGTGGCTTTTGATTCCTATGACCTTTCAAAGCCATTTTCTTGGTGCAAAACACTATATTTACTGCCTGTTCAAAGTGTGCCGAGCGTGTGACTCTAGCTACTTGAGTAGCACGCCGGTCCACGACTGCAATGCGATACGAGATGAAAGCAACTTGAGTATACTGTAGTAGCTAAAGAATGCTAGGTGTGGAGCCTATAACAGAGAAGATTTGGTGCCCTCAAATTCCTTTGCGAAGCATACATGGTTGGGACTGGGGAGCTTGCACCATGCAGGTCTGCTTAGAATTGCAAGCTAGGTCCGTTTCGAGGGTGACAGCTGGCTGCGAGGTGCACATGAAAACCAAATACACAAGCAATGCCTCCTGCAAGTAAAATCGCACCAAGCCTGAAGGCTGGAGGGTGCTTCGTCGTTAATTGCTACTAAGTGGCGTCACATCTGCAAGTCACTTCCGTATTGTCTCTTAATTGAGCACCTGCATTTCATAATTTTTTCCAAACATTTTCGATTAGATTAGTTGAAAACTGGAGTATTAGCATAACGACACCCCCTAAAGTATAGTGCTCTTTCGAAATTTTAGTCGGATTGTTTTTCATGTTAAATCCCGCTTGTTTTGCATGTAGTGCGACCCAGAGCACCACAGAGCTTTCGTCTAGAGCCTGGCAGCCCAACAGCAGCCTTCACTAGGAAGAGCCTCGCATGCATGCTGTTCTCACTGTGGTGAGCGCAAACAGTTGGGTGCAAGAGTGTCTGCATCCCCGATTTCTTTCCAAGCCTCGCAGCATATGCTCGGATGGCGGCCATAAGTAGAGCAAGATACAGAACGGGTACTGGATGTGACACCTGCACCAGGCTGGCCCACCTCAGCAGCGTCGTCAGAATGCTCCTGACTACGTTGCTGAGGTGGATATCACGAAAGCAAGGCGCAGCCACGTCAAAGGTGGCGCTACCACAGCTTTAATGCTACAGGGCCCTCCAGCCGGTCTGTTCTATGGCCAGAAACAAAAAAAATTTTCCTGCAGCTTGCAGGTGCTGCAGGTGCAGCAGATGCATTGCCGGCGTCGCCATTCTACCTGTTCTACAACTTTTACTATGCACGAGTTTGTTCTGGGGCTGCAACAGAGCTATGAGCGACTAACCACCTCCTTAAACAGCTCTATTGCTGTTTTAGTGGGGAACATGGGCATTGGCGCCTTCAATTCGTCCTTCTCCCCAGGCACCTGCAGCGAGAAAAGCATAAGATATGAGGAGCACACGCTGAAACTTAAAGCATAGTCATTGCAGTGCCAGCGGAAAACCCTACGACATATTGCATTGCCATGAAGATTCTTTCCATATTCCATCATCGAAAGAATATCAGACGCAGCAACAAGGGTAAGCAACTGGCTTGGCAGCAGCTGCCGCTGTACCAGCAGCAGGGAAGGAGCTCCTGGTGTTCTGTCTCTTGGCTTCACAAGAGCCAGATTCTTTACACGCAGTCGTGAGGGTGTTGTGCGCTGCGTTCATAGCGGCACACCAGCAATCATGGCAGTTGCAGCAACATTACACACAAAGAACACATAATTAACACACCCACCGAATACGAACCACAAATGAATGACGAAAAAACGAAGTTACTGTAACACCAAACAGCGGCCTTGGGGTTGGTATGGCCAGTAACTTCATCAACAGCTATAGCAGTTATGCTGCTGCATCAGGAAGGGAAACGGACCTTGCGCTCTGTTGCGGGCGGCAGTGGGAGTCTCCTCCGGTCGTGCTCTTCCAACCGTGCAAGTATAGCTGCTTGCGTCCTTGCCGACAGCCGCGTCCAGACACCAAGGAAATGCTGCAAGAGCAACAACAGCATGAACAAGAATGGATGCGGTTATATCATGGCTACAGGCGGTCAGGATCAAAGCAGATACATAGAAGGGAATATGGTTGCCTGCAGGGCGTACAAGGGCTAATGCATTCGCAGACAAAGTATGCATGCATATTTTATAGTTATTTATATCCCTTTTCAAGAGACTGCCCAGCTTCCAACAAAACCGGAGCGGCAGATAGCCTTTTGAGGCCAGCTCCTCTCTGCGCAGTCCTGAACAGCAGCATCAGCAGCAACAACAGACATAACGAGTCACAGAGAAAGCGATTATAGCAAGTGCAACAGCAGCAACAGCTGCAAAACAAGGTTCAGCCGTGCCCCTTGCAGCTTTACCTTCTCGAGGAGGCAACCCCGTCGCATGCAATGCAGCCAAAAGAGACAGCAGATCTTCGGCTGTGGAAAGCACGGAGAAACGACAAGAAAAGAGGCAAGACTCGCAGTTTAGTACCTTGAAGCAATGAATGCAGAGAACAACGTGAACACGTGGCATCCATAAGCGAATACACCCAGTTATAAGGACAGAAGGCAACTGAGAAACAACAAAAGACAGAAGAAACACCGAGGAGCCAAAAGGCACAGCAAGCAAGCAGACATAAGTAAAGCGGTTCAGCAACACAATATATGCACTCAGCGCACTGCTAAGCTCCTGTAGATGTCTTCTCAGCGCCCCACAGAGAGTTCCACCGAAGACAAAATCTCGGGCTTTCTCGTGCTGCTGCAGCTGCCATTGATGCAACTCGACTAGCAGCAATTGCAGGAGCAGCCTTGGCTTCAACATCCACAATAAGCGTGCAGTTGGTCGACGAGGCTGCGATTTTGTCTGCGACTTTGTTGTCTTTGCAGGCATCATCTGTTGCTTAATATGGAGCTGCCCTGGTGGCGGCTGCATCAGAACGTTCTTCAGTATCTTCTGATGTTCTTCTGTTACTGGAAGTGCGGCGCAACAGCACAGAAGGCGTGCAGTAGCAGCTGCCGCTGCTGCTGCTGCTGCAGTGCCATAGTGCCACGTCGAACCAGAAAGAATGCCAACAGAACGGTTGAAAATAGCCTGTACTAGGTCTTTCGCCCACTCCTGCTGCAGGGAGGCCTCGTGGCTGTTTCCTGCGTCTTCAGTAGTCTGTGCCGTGCTCTTCTCTCTTCTTGGTTTTGATTCTTCTCCCTGTTCCATGTCCAACTTCCAGGTCACGTATGTTGGTGGTAGCTGGCGCGGCATACTACCGAACAAATCTGTGCCTGCGAGGGCCTCTGCCACTCCGCACAGCGACTGTGTACAGAGGCACACGGAGCCATAAGGCTGAGAATGTCTTCTGCATGCTCCAAACACTTGGCGAAAAATATCCATTTGAATCAACTTCAAAGCAGCAGCTTCACAAACACAGAGGTGAAAGGAGAATTTGTCACTTCATGAGATTAACAAATATACATATGGAGGTTGAAGGAGAATTTGCCATTTAATGAGCTTGAATTTGTGATGAGGCAATGCAAGTGCTGACCGTTGGAGACAGGGCATCAACATAAGCTAGGAGTTGAAGCAGTAGTCGAAGACGGAGACGCGCGTCGCGAACATTACTTTTGCAAAAGAGAATGAATGCCTGCGAATACAAAGGGAAGGCGTCAAACTCTAAGCTTGGTGGTCACAGCAGACTGCGCTGCAGACGAGACGGCAAAATCCACTACAAAATGCAACAGCAACGGCAGCGACAGGGGCACCAGTTGGTGTTGAAACAATGGGTTCGGGCTCAATCATGCAAAAGCTCGTCGTAGAAGGCAGTCAAGGAAGTAATGGCTTACTGATGCTAATTGCTGGGGAGTGTAATAAGGGATTGCTGTATACATAAACCCAAAAGCTTGTCGCATCAGCTCCGGAGGAGCATCTTCCACAGACGCCAGAAAAACAAGAAGATCCTCAGGCAGAAAATAAGGCAAAAGGAATGCTGACTGCTGCAGCAATCGCCTCCGCAAGTCCTGCAACGGGAGCAGCGCCTGCAAGCTCAGCCCTTTGTGAGTCTGCGGCCGCAGGCTGTACAGAGCCACAGCAATTTCTCGTGGCTGCAGCGCCGCTGCTGCATCCCTCGCCGCATGCAGCACATACGTAAGTAACTCCTCCGGGACAGATCCTTCTGGAAGAAGACACTTAAGAGTAAGCAAAGAGATAACTGCTGCTGTCGTTTCCTTTTGGTGTAGCAGCGGCTGCTCTTGTTGCTGCTGATTGCCCTGGAGTCCCTCCAGAAGTGACGGTGTTAACACTTTCACATGCGCTGGACGTAGCAACGAACCCTAAGGCATCGCAGTGGGAGGGACAGATATGCAGGTGTAAGTAAGGAAGAAACGGTGCAAGGAGAGACATGGAACGGTAGGCAGAGCTGAATACGATAAAATAACAGAGCAAATGCTAAAGGAGCTAGCAAGCGGCATGGAAAACAGACAATAACAAAAGCAAACGCACGAAAAAGTGCATACAAGCCATGTTAGAATTCTCAGGGAAGAGGAGGAAAGGAAGCACAAAGAGGCAGTCTGACGAACAAGAACGGAACCGCAGAAAATAAACGAAGAATGGTGCGGCAACGCATTCAAGTAAAGTTACGGGATCAATGCTGCACAAGCATATGCCACAGAACACAATAAGACTATGTGGGAATGCTGACAGCGGCAAGCGCCACGAGAATTGCAGCAGTCTCTTTCGGTGGCCGTCTCTCGCGGTGCAAATTACGTAGCGAATCCAAGAGCGTAATTTGCTGCCAACGGACAGAAAACATAGACCGGCGCAACTGTCTTATAGAATGCCGCAGCCTTTCTTCTTGCTGCAACCGCTGTTGCAAGTCGTGCTTCTGTTGATCGTGTTTCAAACAGTCTTGCTGCCGTTGCCGAAGCTGCTTAAGCAACGCGAGCTTCTGCCACTGCATGCTTCTGTAGAGGTGCAGAAGAGCAAAAGCTCGGAAGGTTGCTGCTGCTGCTGTTGCCGCCTCTTGTTGCTGCAGAAGTTCTTCACTGCTGCAGGTAAGAAGCAGCTCCCAGGCTTCTGTAAGCTGCTGCAGAATTGAGAGCGGAGCACGGCTCTGTATTTGCAGGCTATGCATAGACACATTAACGAAGGCACAAGAAAACTCAGCCCGGTATGTGAGGAAGCACAACCGCTCGCGCACCCTATCGGCACCCCGACTGCATTGCGGTGGCTGCTGATGGTGGTTCTATTCTGGACGCTCATGACGTTTCCCTGGCCGCTCTTGGTGACGCCAGACCAGCTGCTAATGCACATTTGCAATGAAAAGACACAGTCATGTGCCCGTAAGCCTTAGAGCTCACCTATTGAGTGCAATAAGGCTCCGCAGCACGAGCAATGCAACTGGAGAGACAGATGTGGAGAAGCGGAAAATCGACTCCGTAGCTTCTCTTAGCAGCGCAGGCAAACGCAGTCCAACTTCTTCTGGAGGAGATACCGTTACCACTGCTTGTTCATCGGGCACTGCTGTTGCTCCTGCTGTCTGCCTTGCCGCTTTTGTTACTGTTGGTGTGTCGGCTGAGCTAGTTGCTTCAGAAGCAACCACGTCCTCTGCAGTTGTGGTGGGGCGCAGCAGCAACGCTGCAGTCCTAGCTTGGAGCTGAGCAGCACGCTGCTTCTGCTGTGCCAGGTAGACATAAGTATCGAAGCGCTGTTGTTGCTGCATTGCAGCCACTGGGATAGGAGTGAAGTCCGCCGCTGCGGCTAGCTGCCACTGCAACAGTTGCTGTTGCCCCCACCCCTCCATATCTATCCCAAAAGAAGTTGCCGGGGAAGCAGCAGCTGCAGCTGCTGCTGCGACGCCACAAGGCACCTCAGTAAGAGGCATAAGATCTAAGGTCTCGGTGCTGCTACACAGCAGAGCAACAGCGCGCAGATGCAAAGCGGCTGCTGTCAGGCTCGTGTTGCTCCCGTTGTTGCTGCTGCCGTCCGACAGATGGAGCCATATGTCTCCTGATAACACGGACAAATGCAAAATGTGTCAAAATGGCACGGAGGCAGCATGAATAGCAGCACAAACATCAGCTGCACTTAAAGGCGCTTACTCAAACCAGCATACACATTACGTCCGAGCGGTTCTTTTTCCAACGTCCGCCACGTTTGTTGCTCCTGCTGCTGCATCTTTTGCTGTCCTCTGCTATCCTTCAGTGTAGCAGCAAGTGCAAGCCTCTCCGGGTTGCCAATACCGAGAAGGCGCAATAGGGCAATGAAGAAAGAAAGAAACTCTTCCAGCAAACACAGGCCCCAATCTTTTCGTTGTCTTAATATGGAGTTCAGCAATAGCCCGATAATTTCGTCTAACTCCTTCTTATACGCAGCGAACACCTGATGCACTTGCTGATGTTCCTTCCGCTGCCAGTCCTTCTCGTGAGGCTGGCCCTGCTCTTTCTGGCAATCCTGTGTTTGCTGCTGTTGCAAAGCAAGAAGGTTCAGCTGAGCAACAAAAGATATGTCTCTTAGCATCAGGGCCTCTGCAAAGCGAAATATACTTTCAATTGATAGCGCCTCTTCATTTCCGGATGTTTCGCGGTTACTGTTGAGAGCTTCTGCGACTCTGCAAGTTGCTGCCGTGATTCTAGTCGCTAGTCCTAATCTTTCCGGTGTATCCGTAGTTTCAATCTGTCCCGGAAGAGTCTCAAGGTAAACAGGGGCAGGTGAGGAAATGCTGCCATTACATCTTCGTGCTGTTGCTGCCGAATCCGCATTCGCTGAAACAGCCGCTTGTGCCGTTGAGCACGCAGGAACCAGCAACAGAGAAACCTGTTGAGGAAAAAACGCTGCGTAGGCTGCCGCTTGGAGCACACAACAGCTCTGCTGCAGCGAGTAAACACACCGCAGCGGCAAATCGAATGCCTCAAAAGCGAGCACAATGCTGCAAATGGAAGCTGACGCCCGCCGATACTTGACAAAAATTGTTAAATCTAAGGGGAGGTAGACAAACGCCCATGTACAACACTAAAAGCACCAACTCAAATAGAGAACAGAACGGGGCAAAACACTGAAACTGAAGAAAAAACAGTAAAAGGTCAAACTACTCGGGAGACAGAGGCAGGTAATTTAGTATGCAAAGAGGGGAAATTGAGAAGGCTGATATACTGTGCACGCACTCTAGGAGAGAGATCAGGGCACTCAAGGAGACGATGAAGCAAAGGAAATGCTTCAGAGGGAGCAACCAACGTGGCAGCAGAAGCTGGGACAGCAGCAAAGCCGCGTGGCCGCAGCAGACGTTGCCTGCAGGAAACAGTAGCAGATGAGTGGTGACACTTCGTTTTAGAGCTGCTGCAACTTCGAATCTGACCGAGTCCCTGATAGCCCCTGACAGCAGCAACGAGGCCAAGAGGGAAGCAGCTCAAACGGAAACCTCAGCGAAGGTCACCGTAGCCAAACAGTGGAAGAAAGAGCGAGGGGCAGTGAGAGAGAGGCACTAGCGGCAAAAGTGCACAAAGAAGTAGGGGCAAGTTGGAAAGCTTAAAGATAGACAACTCCGCAGCAAGAGATTTCTGAAACTATAGTATATATGAAAATTTATGAGCGCAGACGGAGAGAGACACCGAGCACCGGAGAATGCAAACACAGCCACCTCAAACCGAAGGATCTAAACACGTGCGTTGAAAAATGACGCAACGCGAAAATCGTCCAGCAAGAAGCGCTCACAGGTGTTAGAAAAAATGTGCAACAAACGCAAGAGCCGGGGAGAGCAGCACTGACTGCCAGAAGATTAGATGGGCTACAAAACGAGAATAGAAGCGACCTTGAGAAAAATACAGATATGCAGAGGCAAATGATTTCTGAGGCTGATAGCTGAAGAGAAATCCAGGCTCTAGGAGTCACAAAGAAGCGGCAATGCACGGCACAAGATGTAAAGAGGAGAAAAGCAAAGAGCAGAAGCGGAATAGAGCGGACGGAGAGGAAGAGAACTTGCTGCACCTTCTGATGGAGACAAGAAGACGCGCTAGTGAAGCTGCAGCTTCGCCCCCGAATGGTGACTCTGCAAGGCAAGGAATGAAGCACTCTGCTGTAGCCGGCATTCCTGAGGAAGACAGAAGCCTTAGACATAGCAAAGGGAACTGAATGACGCTGACAGCGGGAACCTCTACTCTCAGGCAAAACTAGACAAACCTGTTCCTTGGCAGACACCCAAAAATACGGGCAAATTCGAGCATAAGCATACAGCAAAGTTGAACCAGCATGCCGTCCGCGAAGGATCGGCTGCATTGGCAGCTAATGCCTTTACAGACTCTCTGGACGCAAAGTAGCTCACCCAAATTCCCAAAGGCACAAATGAGAGCCGCACATTCGCCAGGCGTGAAAGCAGATGGTAACTGCGACTGCTCCTGCTGCTGCACTGCTTCACGTACAGCAACAACGACACGCTGTATCCGGTGGTCTCTCTGCGGGGGGCGCAGCAAAGACAGGAGCAGCAGCGCAGGGGCTAGCAAGCTCGATCCTTGTCGCTGCGGCTGCTCCAGAAGCGGCAGCTGCTCTGAGGCGACAGCCGCGAGGCAACTGCAGTCTCCTCTTAAATACGCATTTTCAATTCTGTTCGCAGCGTCTACGCTGTTGTCCGCACGTCCTGTGGCTGCTCCTGCCGTTGCCTCTACCGGAAGTTGTGCACTGTCCGCAGCTGTTGTCTCTGTTGCTCGCACTGTAGTAGCGACAACGAATGTCGCTATCGCGTCCGACTCTGGAGGGGCAGCAAAAGCCTTTAGATAGTGGGGCCGATGCGGCGCCCAATCCAGTTGCTGCTGCTGCAGCACTCGCAGGGCTCGTTCCTTGCGTTGCTGCTTCTGCTGGATTGTTATGGTTGCTCGCATCCAAGATAAATCCTGGGCTTCGGCGCGATCAGAAGTAAAAGCAGCAGCCGCAACTGCAGCCATATCACACAACCTTCGACAGGATCTTTGGAAGGAGCACTGAAGGAAGCGTCTCTTAGTGACCACAAAATCATGTGTTGCCACTGTGGCTGTTATTGATAAAGCCATGTTTGCTGTTTCTGGCTTTGGATGAGCTCCCGCTGATCCATGTGCCGCAGCTCGTCTGCTGTGTCCTGATGCCCTTGGCCTGCTCCTGCATATAGACTGCGCAGCGCTAGTGCCGAGGCGCGGAAGTGGCCCCGCCCTACACATGGCCACACTTCTTAGTGAAACAGGCGCCAAATTCATCCCAAGTTGAATACACGCCTGAGACTGCGCCCTAGGGCCCCGGCCAGACCCCTCTTAGCGAGCATCGGGAGCTGCAGGGGGACCCTCTCCCTGCTTGAAATAGATCCGCTTGTGTACTTGCAGTGTCTTTTTATTATCTGCCATTATTTACACAAGCAAAAACAAATTAATTCAGCGCCACAGTACGTCTGCCGTCTCTTGCTGCCATACTGCAAAGGGTCCCTTGAAGGGCCCTCAGCGACGATTCAGTGATCGCCGTCATCGGCTGCAGCAGCCGCAGCAGCGGCAGCAGGCCCCACACGTGCACAAGCGTACCGCGCAATGCGAAGAAACTTTTTCACTTTCTTTGTAACACAGCGAAGAGAGGGCGGATCGCGCCTTCCCCAGTCAACAGAGAGTGCAACCCCGGTCGGCTGCTGCTGCAGCAGCCGTTTCTTGCTGCTGGCGTTCCTGCTGCGTACTAAACGCTGGGCTGGATACCGGCAAGAGTGATTCGCACATACACTTACCTAGCGGAGGAGTTATAATTGGAAGCAGGAAATTAGCGAGCTGCACAGGTAGCGCCAGTAACACTTAACGCAACAGCAGCAGCAGCCGCAAGGGCACGGGAAGCAGCGGGGGGACTGTCGTTGCAATACAAAAGTGGCGGAAAGGGGCAAAAGAAGTTTCAACTGTACATATCCCTTTTGGTGGCTTTGCGACTCCACTGCTTCAGCATATGCTGTAGCAGCGGCTGGGAGGTGGCCATGCTATGCAGGTCTTACACAACGTGGGAAACGTGCGGGCGAGGACGATAGAAGTTCTGCCAGAGGCACTAGGAGGATAAGCAGCACGTGCTGGTGCTGCTGCTGCCGCGTGGTGGACTGCGCACTTTGCCTCTAACGCGTATAAAGATGAGCCTCAGAAGCTTATGGCCGCCACCGGTGGCCAGCTGCCGTTGATTGTCTCGCACACATTTCTCAAGCCCTGCATTGGCGACGGAAACAGATGCTGCAGCTGTCGCTGTGCGTTTCTGCATCTGCATCTGAGCAAGGCTTCGGCATACTGAGATGTGGGGCCGCCTGCGGCCGTACAGCAGGGTCGCAGAAGCGGCCGCCGCTGCTAACCCAGTAGAGGCTGCCAAAGGCCGCTTACTGGTAGCAGTAGGAGAGGTTTCAAACAAAGTACCTTTAGCAACTGTTGCTGTTGCTGCTGTCGGAAGACATGATCCAGGCAATAGGCGCCGCCTACTTCTAGCTTGCTGTCCTATTAGGACTCGCGAACCTAATGTCCTGCTGTTGCCCGTGCTGCATATGCAAATGCAGCAGCAGTTTCGGGGGCGAAAGTTATATCAGTGTTCCGCTCACCCTCTATCTTCTAAATTTGCTTCTGCTGCTGCACCTCAAGGCGAGCCTAGTTGCCCCTGTTCCCCATCTTCGGGCACCTCAGCCCCGGTATCTGCAGCAGCAATACCCACAGCAGTGGCAGGGATGGGAGTAGCACACAAGGATGGCCACTCCTGGCTGTGGCGCCTAGTGCAACACCGCGTGGGAAGGCGCAGTCGTCAAAAGCAGAAGGAGAGACAAAAAGAGAGAGAAAAAGAGCGGATTGTCCGGCTGCCCTTGGGAATATCTGTAGCTCTATGGGCTCCTATTCCGAGCAGCAGCAGGCTGAAGAGAGATGTGCTGCTGAACGCAGTTGCTGCGCTGCTACTATTTTCCGCCAGTGATATCATGGCGCAACACCTGCAGCACACGCAAGCCCACAAACAGCAGCAGCAAGCGCAACAGGAGTTGGACCCACAGCAACAGCAGCAGCCTCCACGAGAGCTGCAAGGTTGCGGGGCAGAGCAGGTTCCTCCAACCCTAAGCAGCACATTGCGGCAGATCGATGCGGGCCGCACGCTGGCTGTTGGTTGCGAAGGAGTGATAGTTAATGGTGAAGCCAGCTTGTTGCCTAGTTGTGTCAAATTCTGTGCCTGCTGTGCTATCCCTGCCTCGTGTGTGTGGTTTGTTGTGACTGTGCTTTGAGCTCCGTAGCAGTATGTTTACCTTTTCAAGTAGCTTTGCGTGCCGGCTTCCTTCGTCTGTGTGCCTTTCTACCCGCTTTCGTCCCTTTTTCTCTTGTTTCATTTTATGCTTGTGACAGTTCCTCGTTTATCGCTTCTTCGGCAAATTCTGGACTGTCTCGAACTTATCTGTTTTTCCCCTGTTTATGTTCTCTGCCCTTCTGCATGTCTAGCATGCTTTTGCTCTTTGCATCTCCCTACGGGTGCTCCATTTTTTTTAGTACAGGGGCACATATTGTAATCATTTTCTACCCTCCCTAGAATTCCTAGGCTGTAGCTGCTAAAGCACTTTGGTGTTTGCCCTCTCTGTTGCAGCTCTTCTACTGACACCTATGTATCACAAGCTCGAGGCGATGCTGGCTCACAATACTGCACTAAAGCGCAGTAGCACGAGCGGCGCAGGTGGCGGTGGTAGCAGCAGCAGAGGAAACCCCAAGGTCACGAGCTCCGGGCGATCTGGCGCTTCAGCACGTGTAGCTGCTGCAGTCTCTGGCGCCTCAAAAGCAGCAAATACAGCAGCAAATGCAGCAGCAGCAGCAGCGTCGGCAGCAGCACAAACACAACAAGGAAGCCGCGCCAGTCGCTTGCTGTGGCTGCTGAGTCTGTATCAGGTGCTGGCCGTTCAAATAGTCGCCATGCCTTTTAGTTCTTTTTCTTTTCTTTTTTTCACTCCGGTTCTCAGATTCAGCTTTACTCGGCTTTTTGAAGAGCAACAGCTTCCAGTCCAGAAGGAGCAGGTACAACAGCATTACGTGCAGCAGCAAAGGCTAGAGCAGCAGCTGCTGCTAGCGCAAGAGCGACGACAGCAGCAGCGGCAGCAGCAAGAACGAGAGCACCAGAAGTTTTGCTTGATCCTTGGCTCACCCGGCTCTCAGAGGGCAATTCAAGACAAAGTTATTGACAAGGACGCCCCAACTACAGTGCAGCAACACCAGCAGCAACAACAGCAAGGGCAGCAGCAGCAACAGCATCAGAGGTGTTGGATCAGTTCCGACCCTCCAGAGAATTTGCGTGCTGCACTCCGTGAGGGTTACGAGGCTGTGCGATGTCATTTCAGAGAAATATACGTCGCTAGCCTTGTTGTGTGGCCCCTGTCGGACCTTATCAACTTCCGGTGGGCTCAATGCCTTCAATGGTGTATCAGTAGCGCCAACAATTAGCAAGTATTTAGGGCCTCTCCCGGTGCAACGGGCTAGTAAAAGACATAAAAGACAGCTACGTCCACATCCCCTTTATGCGGAAGAGATGCCGCGTTTTCATTGTCCCCGTATGTACAGCAACGTTCCCGCTGCCGTTGCTGCCAGACAGGTATACAAAGCGTGATAACTGTGGCGTGATTGCATGCGTCTGTGCTCTTCAGTTTCGTTCCACTGGCAATGCGCCCTGCCTGGGACTCTCTACTTGACTTTGTTTGGGCTGTGTACCTCTCGTATGCCGCCCACTCTTCCCCAGCACCAGTGCAACAGCAGCACCCGGTAGATGAAACAGCAGGAACTTGTGCTGCGGCCCCTACTTCGTCTGCGGGCATGCAGTTGAACGCTGCATGAACAAAGGGGACCAACTGTCACGCATCCATTACTCGGGTTCTAAAGCTGCTTCCCTGGAGCTGCTACCCCTGCTATACAGAAACTGCAGCAAGTGAACTGCTTCTGCAGAGTACGCGACAACTCGTCTTTACATTTACAGCCAGTCTGGTAGCTGCTGCTGCTTCTAATGCGTCTGCTGCTACTGCTGGTGCCTCTCCTATTGCTCGAGCTGCAATAGCAGCTATTGCATGAAAGTGCTTTTCCATGATGGACAAGGTGGGCAACTGCAGCACGAATGAGCACGACACCACATATTCGGTGCCAAGCGTTTGCGTCCTTGAAAACTAGTGAAGGCCAACTAATATGCCAAACTCTAGGAACTCAAATGTGCTGATCCTCATACGTTGTTGCGTCAGCTCTCCTCTGGAGCTCCGCTAGCTACTTGTGCAGTACAAATGCACCTGAGGGGTACCCTTCTTTGCAGCAACAGCCACCAAAGCAGCAGCATCAGGATTAGCAGCAAAGGAGTGCTGCGCCTCGTCCTGCTGGTGCACATATCGGCTCTTGCTGTTCCTGCTGCGGGATGCGGACGGCAACACTCTCTGTCTCTCCCACTACTGTGGTGTCTGTACACCTCGAACCGCTGCTGCGCCTCTGCCTCCCTCTCAAGTAGCTAGTCCAGGAAATCTTCACCTTTTACTTGTTCAGATGTTACTGCTGTTGCTGCAGATGCTGCACATTACACATTGACACTGCTGCTGTTCAGCTTGCTCCGCTGTTCTCTTCCAGCAGGTTCAACTACTGTTGGTGCTGCTGCTGCATCGGTAACAGTCCGCTCTGTTTAATACAAAGGCAACCCTCTATACCGCTTGAAAGTTCCGTTCATGGTAACGGATTCCGGTGCCTCCGATGCTGCTGCTGCAGCTGCTGCTGCTGTTGTTGTTGCTGTAGCTGCTGCTGTAGCTGCTGTTGAACACTGTTGCGAGCCGAATTACCAGGAGGCCTTCGGCGGTGCCTTTGGGGTGCTGAATTTGCAGCTGCAGCAGCAGCTGCTGCCGTGGGTGGGAAGGACGGCCAGGCACTTGTCCTAGCCGGTTGCTGGGGCTGGTGTTCTGCTTGCTGTTGCTGCAGCGGATGCTGCT